CTTCGAAGTCGGCCAGGATTATTACCTACATCAATAGAAATAATCTCGGCCGACTTCGAAGACGTCGGCCGCCCTAAGTATTGTTCGCGATACTTAGGTTGGGTTGCAGGCGAAGATCATGCTCCATCGCGAAACATACTTATGGCGGCAGACATCTTCGAAGTCGGCCGAGATTATTTCTTATACCATGAAGAATATTAAATATTCGTTAGTTATTAATTACCCTATCTTGTCTCATACTATTGATTTGTGTTGCTAAATAAAAACAAAAAGAAAACGATACTCAGGAATTATAAAATTTATATAAAAATACTAATTTTCTGGCTTCTAAGGCGAAGTCTTCTAAGAATGCTTGGCAAACATATATACTTTTTAATCACGTCATGGTGTGTTTATCCCTCAAGTAACACAGCACTTACAATCTAAAGGATGTTATGTATTTCTTTTTTTAATTATGTAATAAGTGATGTTAATAAAATATTCTTTTTTAATATTAAAACGCATTTTTCATTTTGTTCTGTGGTAATATACTTTTTTTGGTTTGTTAAAGAAATATGGAAAAATATCTTGCATAATACTCCTTGTTTCTCTATAAGCAACTTCTTCTGTATAAGAAGAACTTTTTTATGTAAATTGATTCATGTATTATAATTTTTATTATAAAAATACATAAATTTCAGCGTTTCTTCAGCTTAGGTTGAGTACACATATCTCTGCTGTAAAATAAATTTAAACTTCTAATAATAACCATTAAAGAGTTAAAATGTGGTAAATTAATATTTAAAATTTTTAACTGTATTCGCTTACCTCTGATATATATATTGTATATATAATTGATAAAACTTACATCTAACCCATCAGCTTGTCTAATAAAACCTTGGTAATACCAATCGCCTTGTTTGGCAAGAACTCGATGTCCTCTCCATTCGGTGAGATCCAAAACAGAATCTTGTTTACGATAGTAGGGATCATCGTCAACACGTACACTTCTAGAGTAATCAACAGCATTTGGAACACACACAACAGGTACTTGAACACATCCCCCATGGTTGTCGTTCTCTTCGAGTTCGGAGGGATCGAACTTCCTCTTTTTAGGGACTTTACGGACACCCATGTCCATGTTCGACATCTCTTGTAATAGTCCACTGGCGAACAAAGTCAGTCCCGATTTGGCATTTTATACAGTTGGGGTGCTGCTTTCGGTTTGGATGTGGTCCTTTGTTCAATTGATAAAAAGTGGTGTTAAACGAGTTGGTTGATGAGTTGAGAATGACAATGAGATGGTCATTCTGCGTGATTTCTTGATGATTTCGATCAAATCCGATAAGACACACGATTAAAATACGATGAATGGAACGTTGGCGAGCATCGCATAGTAAATAAACATTCGCTTGTCATATGGAGCACGAGGATTTTTTCAAGAGGACGATGTTTAAATGTTATGAAGTCGAGTTGTATGTTATAGTGCACTTTTACCTTTAGTTGATGTTCACACGGACGTCTTACGTACTTTCGTCTACGAAAGTAAATTTATCGGATCTATACCAACAACCAAACACCCACAGTCTGCCAAAGACATCAAACTAGTTCCTCTTTACACCCCCGCAAAAACCATTCTTGTACAGTATCAACTCACCGACGAGCCTGAAGCCCGTTTTACATCAGGCTAAGGCGGGTTATTCAAGTCGATGCGCGTCGGAGTGTTTTAGTACAATTTTTTTTGCTACACAAATTCGACAAGTTCGCGTTTTTAAATAATTCGACACGTATCGTTAGCACTTTCGATTAATTCCACGCTTCGAATACTAGGTAGTAAATTGCGTACGCCTTGAAATGACGTGAGCAACACCGTTCATTCACGTCGTGATAGGAAATTCACAATTTATCATAAACGGCTAGTATATTCAATTTATCTCTAGTACTGATTAAATAATTATCACGAGATTGTAATATATAAATATTAAAAAAATATTCTGAAACCGGATACGCGATTGGGCAATTCGACACCGACTATAATATTTTTGTTTCGATTCATTCATTGTTGTATCGTGTAACATTTCATTATACAACTCTTACTACAAAGAATACAGATGTTTGTGTGTGTGTGCGTGTATTTTTAAAGATCGGCTCACACATCTCATTATATTATGACTCATTCCCTTTTTCATTAAACGCTTCTCAATTGTTTAAACATTTTTAATTTACACCATTTAACCCATTTTTTTAATAAACGTAATAATATTCTTTTAATTCTTTCCTACACACATAATTAGAAACAAAAATGTGTGACTCAACCTTAAATCTAATACGTACCCATCTTCATAGATGGAGCAATTTTTATGTCAACTCAATCGACTTCAAGTATGTGATATTATATTATAAAACTTATTTTGGATTAAGACTTTATTAAAAATCAAAAACTACATAAAATAAGTTATATTATAACAAATTAAATAACTAAAATGATCGTGGCGTCACCTACCAGTTTAATAAAGCAATGAGGCTGGAAGAATCAAACTTTCGATTTTTCTCGATAGATGCCGTAGTTTCGTGGGAACCACGACGTTGGGGTGTTTGTTAATTTTTCGTATTTTTCTCAGATTTCGCACGTCTTGATAACGGAAGACGGATCCAACGGGGCCAGTTCGCTCCACGAGCCCTACGATTGATACCCGTCGATAGAGCGGTTACTGCGCAAATATAAAAATGGCAGTGTTAACAGGTAACTTGACGTCTCGACGGAATGATGATCAATAACAGGACGGAAAACGTTTATTGTGTTTACGAACGCGGACAATAAAAACCCCCGAGCTTATAATGATAATATGCGGAGTGCTTTCGTTTTTTTGATTTCTACCTACCTGATGGAACAGTATAGTAAGTTGCTTTTTTGGTGTTTTTTCCAATATCTGTATTTTTTTTTGTAGATGCACAGATACATTGCAAAGACATCCACCAGCACATAGTGTCCCAGGGTTTACATTATATACCGGGAACTAATCCATGCACACTTTGTGTTTGTGATAAGGGCAGCCCAAAATGGTGCAAGTCCGTGCTGTGTGCACCACCTCAAGTAAGAATTAATACTAAAATATTTTCTTGGTAACTTGAGATTGATACTTTTAAGCTTCATATCAAAACAGTATGACTTTTAGACAATATGGAATGAAATAATAAAAAATAACAAAATTTTTTGACAGACACTATTCTTATATACAACCTGTTCTAAATTAAGTGCACACCATTGGTAACTTTGTTATTAGTGTAGGTACAAAGTTAAATAAGTAAAATAGTAGCTTTTTTTCTGCCAATTACAATGGTGAAAATATTGCAATAGTGTCAACTAGTACCATTGACATAGGTACTAAAATCCTTCTTAAGGGAGGGGTGAAGAACATGACAGTACAACTTTTCTCAGACAGTCAAGGCGCTGCAAGCCCTGAAAACAGTGTCGGCTCTGGTTAATGATTGTAAGAGAACTAGTGTTGTTAAATACCCAGGGAGTATTTACCCAAGATGGGTATTTAGAGGTATTTATAAAATTTAATTGAAATTGAGTTGATGGCAGTTTTGCAAGCACTTCAAGAATGCAGAGTCGATTATCGATATACCAAACTTATTTATAACATCTACAAGAATGCTACAATGACGGTAAAATTGCATGAAAGTGCTGAAGAGAGTAGAAGTAGTAAAGTACTTATTGTGAGGCGATACACTGTTGAACCCAAATTGTTCATCACAGTCCTCAGAGTGCATTTAAACAACTGGATTGGACCCAAAAAGGCATAAACATTGATTGCAAATGCTTAAGTAATTTGCACTATGCGGATATAGTTCTTATATTGGATAGCCTTGGAGAGATTAAACAAGTTTTGAACGACTTAAAGGAGGTGTGGCAAGAGTCTGGGCTAAATATCATAGAGAAGAAATCAAAATTTATGATAAATCTTGTTGCCAGCTCTCAAACACGCGAACTAAACAGAAGGAACACGCCTATGGGAAACTTAGAGACATCTTCAAGAGAAAAGGCCAAGAAAGGCTTTCAATCAATGCGTGTTTCTGGTTATAACATAAGGCTTTAATATTAACGGTAGCCACCGCCAGGAGGGTCCATACGGGATCCTAGGTCTAACTCTGAGGGACTACATACGAAATGAAGACCTATGAAGAACCAACAATTGGATTCAGACAGCACAGAGTAGAATCTAATGGAACAGAATAGGGGAGGTCTATGTCCAACAATGGACGCAGAGGGCTGCTTGATGATAATAATAATAATAACTTGATCTAATCTAAATTACGATAGATTTGTCTAATGATAATACGTCTTTGATTGGTAACAATTCCTCGTCTTCAATGTCCTCATCATCTTCCTCTTCATTTTTTTTTTTTTGGAATCTGATACATTTTGACTGGTATCACTATTATACCCGCTAAATACCCATTTTAGAAATACCTACTGTTGAATGCCGACTATGTGCGGAGGAAGCAGAGACGGTTAAGCATGTTTTATGCCACTGCCCTGCTGTTTTGAGTCGCAGTTTATCTCCTCAAAGGATATGAATGACCTTTCACCTAGCAATGTTCGTTAAGAGCATTAGACTGCACGGTGAAATTTGATAACGATCGAATAGATCCTTAGGGTCGCGGTGGAAAGTTGGTTGGTCCGCCTACCCGATATGTAGTCTATGTAATGTAATGTCAACTACTATCCGTGCAAAAAGTCAAGGACCCTCACTTTAGAGATCGATATCTTCGCAACCGCTCGATAAAAAAAATTGCGACAAAGTTTGTTGTAATCACTGAACATTTCTATGTAACATATGTTAATTTGTAATAAAATTTCGGATCGATTTTCCTTTTCCTTTTATCGCGAGTTACATGAAAAAAGCACCCGATGTTTTACAGTACCGTCAACTTTGTTAACTTTGCGATTTTTTTTCTCGAAAACTATTGTACGAAAAAATTTTTTATTTTTAACAGGTGGTAGCCTGATGTGTTCTTAACGAGTGGCATATTTTATTTTTTCGACGTTCCATACAGTTTCGTGGAAAATCCCGGTTTAGTAAGATGCCGTTATGTCGAAAATGGCTGGGTGGATTTCCTCGCGGATTTGATCGAAATATGTCAAATAATGTCGGTTGTCGGATTTCGTTATCAGTTTTTCAAAATTAAAGCTCATTAATTTTTTAAGTCCAATCGGAACAGATGGTGCGTCCAGACAGGACGTCGCGCCGTATTTCTTTATTTAAACGGAACATTTGTTTTTCAGGTTTCACCATTGTCATCGGCAGAAAAAATGGTACTAGTTTACTTATTTAACCGATTTTGTACCTCAACTAATGACAAAGTTACTACAGTTACTACAAAGTAATTAAAAATTCGTAATTGTTTCAGAATTGTAAGTCGTTTCAAATGGGCACATTATGTTGCGAATTCAAATGCTTGGACGACTTACTAACAGCTCACGACGACACTTACGACGTTGCTTTGCGATTCATAGCAAGCGCTGTGACAGCAATACTTTCATTATCATTACTGTTCTTCCTGTTTCACCGATTGAAGCGACGGAAAGGCAACACACATCCGACGCAGCAGCTAAATGATGACCAAAGAAGTTTAAATAGTATAGGTTACATAGCGGGTAGCTTAGGATATTTGCCGGACGGTATTGGATATTTGGGGTCTGGAAGTAATGATATTGAGTATCATTATGAGGAATCTAGTCCGCAATACTGTCTGTGGAAGCCTCCGAGTAATTATTTTCCACAAGGCGAGGCACCGCCGCCATACGAAGAAGCTGTGAGGAGCGCTCAACTAGAAAATGATATAAACTCTCAGCTGCGGTTAGCCAATGCTTTTTCGATGCCGTCGCGATCTCCGGTTCCGGCCCGCGTAGAAAGTTCGACGCAAGCTACAAATACGTGTAGACACGTGTGTGATACATCGGATCGTAGGCAGTACGCGAATCTAATTACGGAAGACGTAACGGTTCACGAGAATCGGAAATCGGATGAAAATCGAAATAAAATAACCAAATCGCATAACCGAGAAAAAAATATTTACGAGAATATACCGTTAAGTACAAAACCGAGCGTCGTACCAAAGAGAGATCGGGCCACCAGTTCGGATGCCAATAGAAACGCGAGAGGTCAAAAACCAATCGTAGAAACAACCCAGGAATATTTAAATTTAGATAAACCAATTGTTAAAATCGGCCGATACGATGTAATCGTTGAAAATACGAGGAGGATTGCGAAACCGACAAACCAACAAGAACCTAGCTCAAGCAAAACCGCCGAAAACATTAACCAAGATGGTAACTATACGGTTTTTAATGTACCTGAACGATTTAACGCCATGAAATCACGAAACGGAGAGTGTCCACCCACACAAAGTCTCTCAAACTCAAAATCATTGAACAGAGAATTATCAAAATTGAAGGCCGAACGATCCGAACATAATCTTCGCAGTCTGATTAAACTGGACAAAGACGTTCCGTCGCATCGAACGCTCCCAAAAAACCTTCGCGAATTACTCGCGAATGCCGAGTGTTTCACTGCCATAAGCAATGCCAACAAAGATGACTCCAGTGCAAAAAAATATCAACCTGTTAGATTACAAAATTTTGAAAATCCGTCTACATCGCGAACGGCAACGGTTGTTGAAGCTACCAACAGTTTGGAGAATCTGGACATTATCCATCCCGCGCCACCAAATTTCGCCTCTCCAGTCCACGATACGAAACGTAAAAAAGACGATGAACTTAGCTTGATATCATACCGATGCTTATCTTCATCGCCTGATGACGAAGACTATCGTAGCGAGTGCGAAAATTGTAAATCAGCTGGTTTTACTATTCCAGATGACGAAGAAGCTGATGTTCTCAATGAAACTATGACGTTACAAAGACGACCATTGGAAACTACCGGAGAAGATGTCTCGTATTACAGAACATCTCTTACACTGCCAACTAATACAAAAAATCCAAGGAAAACAAGGTTAATAAAATGTGATCTAAAATTACTGTAAAATTACTAAATATTTTTTTATTTTAGGATAACAAATTCAAACAGAGAAAATTGGTTTACATCGATGAGGGAAACATCTAGCAGTGAAGAAGCAGACTGAAATGAGTGAAGAAGAAGATACAAATCTTTAATCAAATACGTTACTATATATTTCCAAATCAGTGACTGTTTGTCGTGATCGTCAATGCATACTTGTTTCAGTATCCTAATTACGGTTTCTTTGATGTTGGAGGAGAAAAAAAAACGAAAGTTGTGATAATAAAGTAATCTCTAATTTAGCGTCTCGAATACTCCGAAGAAGATTTATATTTCGTTTTCTTTTTTTTAGATATTTTATGGATACTGTTTATATTTTAAAGATTTAGTTTTGTGATATCTATGCATTTTTTTCGTTAAAGTTATTGTTGCTCATTTATTTATTTTTTATTTTAAATAATATTGATAAAAATTAAGAGTTTGTCAATATAATTTAAATACACTTTGTATACAATGTGTCACATTGTTTCAGTATAGGGCATAATCGACCAAAATATTCAAAAAGACCAAATTAATTGAATGATGAATTACAATGATAAAAAATTTGTTCATTATATCTTATTGTGATAATTCTGGGACACATTGTATTTATGTTAAGTAGAATATATTTTTATTTTTCATTAACTTGTATGTACTTTATCTAAGGATAACATAAAGATTCTATACATATACATATTAAATGTAGTAATAAAAAATCTGAGCTGTTTAAGTATTTGTTTTATTTTATTTATACCACAAAACGTGATTATAAAAATGATCACGAGATGACGCAAATTTAAAGATACATTGCGCCATCTCTTGTATTTACTGTCAACAAATTTGGCGGCGGCCTAAATATGGCCGATGACTACATGAACCGAAGTTTAACGTATGTAAATACATGATCGGATGTCGAGTAATAGTGAAGTTATGTGTTCCCAGGAATTATGATAATGGAAAGGAGGATTAAGTTGAAAACACTGAATAACTACATAACGTGCAAGATATGTAGAGGTTATCTAATTGACGCTACCACTGTGACAGAATGTTTACATACATGTAAGAAGAGAGTACTCTTAAAAAAAAATAAATACAATTTATACGTTCAATGATGTTATCGAATTTTATGGTTGTTACAGTTTGCAAAAGTTGCCTGGTGAAACATTTGGAGGAGAACAACACTTGCCCAACATGTAGTAACGTAATACATCAGTCTCATCCGCTACAGTACATCAGCTTTGATCGCACAATGCAGGATATTGTTTACAAATTGGTACCCGATCTTCAAAAAAGTAAGAAAAAAAAATCAAAACATAAAACGGAAATCCCGCCTCTTTTCTTACACTATACAAACGAACTAATGAAAAATTTGATGAAAACAAAGCAATATATTTCTATATTTTTTTTCCAACTACCCATTAATTTTCATTTTGACGGCATATACGTGTTTATTAGCATGTTTCTCCACTGCCACAATAGGGCTTTGTTTAAAAGTTTATAAACTTTCAAACAATAACTTTTTTAACAAATTAGTGAGCTCTAAATGTAGATGTCAGTTATAGTTTTCTAGTTGAAACGAACGGTAGATGGTGCTCTTTTTATTAAGTTGTGAGGTTTATTTATAGATGGCGAACCGATTCAGTTTTAAAAATAATGTTGAAGGTTAATAAATTTTTTTTAAATATATCATTATACTATTATATATTAATATTTATACAATTTATTTTAATTTATAATAATAATAATAATACAGGTATTTCTGTGACTCTCAGCATAATTGAGGGACTCAATACAGCACTCTGCTATGTGTAAATAATTTACGTATACTTTTATATAGTGCTGTGCGAAATAATAGGAGCAACAAAAAAATTTGTATAAATTAATTTTTTTTTACGACACTTTGATTCCATAACATTTTATACTTAAATAAGCCGAGATCGCTTGCGGGCGAAGATACGATTGATATCATCTTAAACAAAGCTGCCCAGCGCATTGGGATGTCTTCGTAGAAAAATCAAGCCACGATCAAAAAACGCTGTCTTTTACTTAAATAAGCCGAGCTGAATCGCGGCTGAATCATATTGAAAGAAAGCTGCGCAGTTTTCAGCCACTTATTCATTTACGCTATTTAACGACTTAAGACAAATTGGGAAGAACTCTAACTGAATGGATCGTACTTCATATTGTTCTGAAAGGATGAATGTGGGGTTGCTCTGACCGAAGTAAGCCTAGAGGTAGATGTGAAATTAATGATTATGATCTCTATTATTAGAACTCAACACTTTTAAAACGATTTTTTGTTCTAAAAATTTTTTTATCACGTAAGCGGCAAAGTACATAAATGGCATTAAGAAGCCGAGATACACAGTTCTTCCTTAGACAAAAGTTGTAAATCGGAAAATATTTTTATACATACAGGATATTTCATAACGATGTTCCGAAATAAATATATATTATTTTAAATGGAATGATACAGTTTTTATTGCGTATTAATTTCGTACAAGAATTTCATAATGCCGCTTACGTGGGACACTTGTACAATAAAAAATGAACATACAAATAATATCAAACTCCTGGTGTAGTAACCTGTAAGTAGTGCTATCTCAAAACTAATTCTAAAATATTCGGTGCGATAACATTGTAATTTTTTCCACGAATTAAAATTTAAGATATTCCCCCGAGTCACAGAAACACCATAGACTTCTATAATATACTATGTATATTGCATTATGTACAAACGTGATTTCACCTGCCGGTTATTAATAGTAATAGTTAATAATAACAATGTTTAATCAAAGTTATAGCGGAAAGTACTGATAATAAAAATTCTTGCATTTGATTAATTTTAACAAAGCAAAAAAATGTAATAAAAAAAACTTACCAAAATTGAGGTTTTCTTCTAAATTGTGCTGCATTTTTGTGGGGATTTTATCAATCATCCACTTGAATATTAGTCTTTTGATATAAACCAACACCTTTTCGCTAAGCATTTTCCGACACCCACAACGTTTCATGGCTCGATTAGATTTAACCATAAACACCTCGTACTGAATTTTATCACAACAATAACAAAAGTGTAGATAAAAACAAAAGTCTTAACGTATCCTATAACAGTTTTATAACGCCCGAGCTTTAAATTACATGTTACTAAGGTTCACTTATTAAAAAGAAACACAATGGATATACACGGTGATTGGAAATTAATAGTTTTTTAATTGTGTATCATTTAATTTTTTTTAAATTTTAGGTGAAATAGCACGGGAACGAGAATTTTACCGTAATAGAGGTTTGCCGTGTCCGAAAGACATTCCGCCGAATCCTGGTGAAGCCGACGAAGAGAAAAACGTGGCTGACGTTCACGCTGAATCTGATTATCACCGACAAGACGAACAAGTAAACGTTTGCTTGGAGTGTGTCAGTTCGAACCTAAAGACATTAAAAAGACGGTTTATACGGTGTTCCGCGCAGGCTACAATTCTTCACCTTAAAAAATTCGTCGCTAAAAAAGTACTCAATGGAATGGAGAAATACAGAGATGTAAGTTACGATAAAAATTAATAATTTTTTTCTGGTAATTCTTCATTGTTTCAGATTGATATTTTGTGCAATGATGAGCTATTGGGAAAAGATCACACTTTGAAATTTGTCTATGTGACAAGGTGGCGGTTTCAGAGTCCTCCGCTTACCTTACAATACCGTCCTCGAATCGATTTGTAATGTTCCATTCTTTCCAACTTCACTTTTTCATTTATTTGATTATCTTTTTCGGTTAATACAAGATAAACTAGATATACTAAACAAAATATTACCATAACATTGATTTACCTATATGACCCTTCATATATCAAATATATAGTTTTAATGGTTTTAATAGTATTATCACATTTGATACCTTTGTATTTTACTTATTTTATATGATACTTTTTATGAATTTAAAACTTGGTTTGTGATTACAAAAGGGTGCGTTCATATAGGTCAAATTGAGGTTGATACTTGATTAGTACCTCTAGTTTAGAGATTTTTTCGTTGTTTCTAACTCGTCCTGTATACACAAAAAAATTGCAGTACAAAATAGATTAAAAGGTAAATCGACAATTAATCTTTTGCGTATTTTGTTTATTATTCGCCCTAGGAGATAAATAATTGGTGCTTGTCTTAAGATATATTTTTACAATCTGCAATTCTTTGACCTCAATGCGTACCTTTTTGTTTTTAAATCGTAAAGCTTTAGATTATAAGTACTGGATTTTGCTTCTTTTTTGTATATAAGATTAATTAATTAATTAATATGACCGCCTATATATTTGATATAGCAGTTTTTCTTTTATTTATTTATAGGATTAAGACCCTCTGTTTCATCTTAAGTGATACTTAAACGTAATTTTTGTAGATCTCAACAATTAATTATTAGGTTTAAAACCTATTATTCTCGATTCGGCTTGACTAGTCTATTTTTAAACGTAATCGACTTTTTTTGATGGCAAAAGATTAATTGTGGATTTATTAATTTACATCAATTGGCAAAAAAGCCCTCTACTCGTAATCACCCCAACCTAGATTACGAATTTTATATCGCATGTGATTTACGAAGACTATAAACTAACCTCCCAAATTAATTGTATATCTCGTTTAATTCTACGATCCCAGTGAAAAAAGTTACAAAACAAATTATAATGAAAAAAAGGAAAATAAATAAAATGGATGTATAATAACTGTTGTGGCGACACAAAACGTATTCGGCGGAAAGAAATAATCAAAATATCGAAACATTATTCGTCAATTGAAACATGTACTTCTCGACCTCGACTGGAAGTTGACTTAAATTCTTTCTATAGATAGATCGCCTAATTCTTCGGAGATTGTAAATAATTTTTATCGGATGACGAAGCTGTACGTGTATATTATATATCAAATAATTGATTTACAAACTGTAATTCTTAATAAATGTTTTATACTTACTTTTTTTAAATCGTTTACATATTACTAATTCCTTTATTTAAAAATAATATTGTTGAATATATTATGATTGAATATGTGAGTATATTCGGATAGATATTGTTGTTTGGAAAGCATCAATCTCGCGATTCAAGGAGATCTCCTTAACGTTTGATGAATTCGTAAAGTGAATAGAAGCAGGCGAGTGTCATCCATAAGACCCGAGAAGATATTAATGTATCTGGTACAATGATATATGGCGAGTGTACATCACGGTAGCGGTCTAATGATGCGGACAGGGAGTCCTTCGCTCAAAAATCGTCGGACCGAACCTTTTATCCCTATTATTGTACAATAGCGACTTAAATTTCTTAGCCGCGCCATCGTAACTAAGGTGGTAAAAGATAGAGAGAGAGAGGGAGAAAATCTTTTCTCCCGTCCGTTATTATTATGTACAATCGGGCTTAATTTCTGTGGCTCGGGGTTCTTTTATCTAAAATAATTGTTCGGGGGACTCGGAGCCCCGCGATTATGTTGCGTGATGATTCCCGCGATCCCGACCCGTTATATATGGGGCAATATTTTACGGAGAGACATGGGACTCGCGAGATAATATCTTCTTCTAGTTCCGTATACTCCGCACCGACATCGGGTAATTTACTGGTTCTCCGGGTTATATTTTATTTTTGGCATTTGTGCTTGTCACAGGTCGCCATTTTTCACCACAACTTTAACCCGTCCTTTCTTCACGCCGCTACCTTATCAAATTGCCTCCAAACAAACCATTCATTTTATCCCTTAAAATGTCTTTCTATTAACCAACCGTATTATCACATTGTAAGTTGTTTCTAAACGTCTTTCACATCCCAAAAATTAGGAGATAAAAAAAAATAAAAAGTCAAAACTAAGGAAAGGGTTTTGCTCGCGAAATCTAAACGTCGGTCGCCGTGTGACGTGCAAACGTTTCGTGCATGTGACGCGCTAATAACAAGGTATGACCGGCACTCCACTTTGATATGGGTCCGGGGCTTTCCGAGAATATAGCAATTAAGAGATTCCAAAATTATATGTAATTTCGTGGCTTTTTCGAATCGTCGAATTAATAGTAAATTAATTACGGCCCGGGCGGGAGTCTTAAACGGTCACCGTCTTTGTTTCGGTTGTTATAAAGCCATTACCTCATCTCATCGTTTGATTCGTCTCCTAAATCCCGTATTCTAAAATGTGGAAATGACTAGACAGTATTCTAAATAGTAGGGATGTAGAATCAATCTTTTCCGCGGAGAATCTTTTCATCCAACTAAAAGGGGCGAAATCCCCTGTTTTCATTACGCTACTCTTTCGAATTTATTCTTGTTGTATATATGCGATTCCAATTGCATTTGCATGCTTTCCAATTTTACTTGCGGCACTCCCGTTTTTATTCCTTTCCCTTTACTACAACAAACTGAATAAACTTAGATAAAAAGAGTATCACTAAAATAAATTGTCCTTATTCACACCGTATCTATTTTCGTTATATCATTACCGAAAGTACCCGAAAGTGGGTAGTCAACGACTTAACAGGTAGTAAAACTTATTAGAGGGCGCCCAATTTTAAAATACAAGGTGTTAAAGTTTGAGAAAGGACAGTGAACGTCTCTTTTCTCATCTTTTAACTGTAATTACGTATTAAAACGTTGCGATAATCATATTAACATGGTAAAAGATTCTGTTTTGTTAGTTTATTTATTTAAGTTTATATTAATAAACACGTACATAAAAAAAATTTTATATTATTAAGTTTTTAATGTTTGATGATAATCTTGGTGATTTTATGAAAAGCAGTGGAAGAAGAGTCTTCCATTCGGTCGTTCTTGACATTAACAAATACGAAGGAGGCCGCGAAAGAGGCTGGAAGTAAAGGCTCGTCCCATCTTCTCCCGGTCGGACGTCGGCCCGTAGAAGCTAATGAGTTACGCCCATGCGGTAAAAAACGTAAAACAACACCACTCCTACTAAATTATAATTTCTAAACGCAATTATACACCCGATATTGCTGACATAATTAAATTTCGCGTCGACCGACCGCCGGTTATCGCGGATTTATCCGAGGGCATCCATCAGGTAACGGCGGACGTCGTTTTCGGCTCGCGGCGTCGTTAAGTAATTGATAAATTAATATAATCGAAGGCTTAATATCTGGGCAGCGCTGTTAAATTATAAAATTGGTATAAATTAGCAATTAATATCACCTCCGAGGGACTCGCGCGTACGCAACGTGTTTACATAATATACGCGAAGGCCGTATACGAAATCTGGACCTTCAAACCGGACCACCAAATTTACCTCCTCCTCTTATCTCCACTCCATACACTTCTTCGACCCAAGACAACAAGGATTACGCAAATCGGGGTGGACTTTTAAAGCCCTCCCAACAAACACGCTGACCTCCCAAATCCTAATGTAACCTGTCCGAACATATTGCATGCTTAGATGGAGCTCGACACGGAGTTAACTTTACTTCTATTGATCTATATTTCATCTATCAATTTATAAATATAATAATTTTTTACTTACCTTTATATTTGGCTTCAAATTTTTTTTGTGAAATGGTTCAAATTAAATAAAAAGACAAAAATTTATTTATACGACAGCTATATTTTAAGAAGCCCAAAAGGCGGTTTACAATAGTTTACTGTACACAAGTAGTGAATATGCAATAACAAGTAACATTGAAAAAAAAAGGAAGAAGGTAGTGCTGAATGAGTTCGGCCAGAGGAAAACGAGCCAATCGGTTCGAGTTTTCCCTAGAATCGTGATCGTATACTCGCAAACGCCCTCGTTTTCGCTAGAAACCCTAGAGGTACACGTATATACATCTATACAATGACAGGCATAGCGGGGGGGTTACTGTTATTCTATTTACAGTTATTGCACATCGAAACGAAGTCCTTCCTCCCTTTCGGCTCGCGATCGACGCCGCGGACGTCTCAATTTTAGACGACGTACAAAAACAAAAAAAAGTACAAATAGAAAACAAAAAATAAAATTGTTTATGAAAAACTACGACCGGGTCGGGAGTTCGATTAATTTTTTTTCCGTTACAAAAGTGAGCAATTGCGATATTCACGTTTCTTTTGACGTATTTCTCTCCCCTACTATTTACAACATAATACAAATCGCTACCTTCGCAAGACTGGCATCGGTTTCGTCGCGACGAGCGTCGAACGCTCCAACCTATGTTACAAGCGTAATAAATAAATACGAGACTGGCTTTTTTCAACAGGACGAGACAGAAGGGTAAAAATAACCTAAAGTAATGTACAATGAAAATCACAAGAGCGCGTTACCACCGACCGAACGGTCACGAATCCGGCTTACCCTCGGGCGTCGAGACGCCCCCGACGTCTCCGTGTAGCGTCTCATTCTCAGCATGTGCGTTCCTTTTCGTTCGCGATACGAACATCTTCGTACATCCTGGAACGGTGCACTTATACATATCGGGGGCATGATTTCTTTCGCAATGGTCTTTCAATTCCCTATGGTTCCCAAAGGTTCTTTTACATATTCTACAGTTTACGTTCCCATCTTTGTCCGTTAACCAAATATCCTCTTCCACGCAGTGTTCCCAGGTGGTAGGTACGGGCGAGGTCGAATGTAATGGAGGAGGAGGCGAACTCAACGTCGGGGAGTTCGACCCTGATTCTTTCTTCATCGAAGAGGAGGAGCCGTTCAGGTGGGAGAAATGGTTGAAGTTGCCTAAGGAAAAGGGTAAACCGGGAAGGGGAGGAAGGAGTAAAGGGGGATGAGGTATTCTATCTCCATTCATCATTAACTGTTCTAGGCTGGGGGGAGGTAAGTGGTGGCCTTTGAGGGCTTCTTCGGCGTAGATTCTAGCTAATATATCCCCGTGTAATGAGTTACCGGTTAAAGAGGCGAATGGGGATTTCTCCAGGAGTAGACCGGATCCAGATTTATCGGAAGACGTCGATAATAACTTCCTATGAAGGTTTAAATTAGCGCTGTGTCTATCTCGACTTCTTTTCGATGGAAACGCAGCGTTACATCCCTCTACGTTACATTTATGCATGAGTTTTAGATGGACATTTTGGTAATGGGTTTTGACGCCGAAATGATTTTGGAAGATTTTTCCGCACGCAGCACACCGCCTGGGGTTATCTTTATCGATAGGAACGTCCATATTGCTTATAAATTGTCCGTTATCATATAGGTTATCGTCCGGAGAATCCCCCCCATTAGAACTTCCTGCCGAAGATGCTTGGGACCGTGCCGGACTTGGAGGACCCCCGCTTAACATAAACCCCAGCGGGGGAAATTGTGAGCTTTGACCTCCTAACCCCAAATGCAATCCTCGACTCATCAAATCGCCAAAATGCCCTTGCGAAAGAGTTTCTAATTGTCTAAGGGCATTTGAACTGTCAAAAGACTCGTCGCTTTTGTTGCTTTCAATGGAGCTTCCTGGCCTCTCGTCGTTCTCCTCGTTATTCTCGTTATTTTCACCATCTTGTTGGTTCTTCTCTTTCTTTATCTTATCCAACATAAATAAAGGGGTGAGACTGGTTTTTATTTCGGATATGTTTTTGTCAGTGTCGTTAGCGTTTACGTCGGGACTGGTTTTGCCAAGGTTCAATGGCGAATCGCATTCGGGGACATCTTTGGATTCTTCCTGAGAGTTTCTATCTTCTTCTTCTACTTTAACGGGGACGTGCGGTTTTTCGTTGAAGACATCTTCTGATGATTCACCATCGGTGGTGTGGTCTTCCATTAGAGTGGTGGGGACAGAGCACTTAATAGGATTTTGGCTCTTTCGTTTTCTTTTGTTAGTCGGGAGGGAAGATTCGTCTTTCAAACTTTGGGTATCTACAACGCTTAATGAATCTTCGTTACTATCTACGTTACTAGTCGCATCTTCTTCAACATCTGATATAGACATTTTTTGCTTTTTCATCGGCACACTAAAATCTTCCGGTCTATCAGGAATACCATTCGAAGGTTCCACTTTGTCTTGTTCTTCGTCTTCATCTCCACCCACTACGACGATTCCGTCGTCGTCGTCGTCTTCATCTTCGTCTTCGTGATGACTTTCCGTGGTTATTGAGGGTGTTTTGTTGCCGGAGATACAAAAGCTAGAACGTTGTACGCTGAGGTCTAAAGTTTGTTTGAAATCAACGGACGCGAGGGAATGATGCCGAATGTCCGGCGGCGGCGTTAGCAAGGGGAAGTGACCGAACGGGTTTAGAGGATTGAGAGCGGCGGCGGCGGCGGCTGCTGGCAGCGCCAGGCCGGTTTGCGGCGGAATTAAAATTGGGTGAGCCTGCGCGCTTCGGCCGTCATGGGGGGATATTTTCCTACGTAAATGGGGGGAGTGAAGCTTTGGATTGGGGTTGGCGCTGTGTCTGTTGCGGGACCTCCTCGAACTGAACATCATGTTGCAACCTTCCACGGTGCATTTATGCATTTCGCGGAGGTGAACGGCGGAGAAATGAATTTTCAAAGCACCTTTGTCACAGAAAGTTTTTAAACAGACGTTGCATTGAACCCGCTTTTTCCCGGTAGCAGGATTTATGAATTGAGTACCAAGATTCAATGGGATCGCTGAGGATCCCCAATGTCTTTTTGTAGGGGTCGTGGATTTTCTCCCCAGCAAGGGCGTTCTTGACCCTCTCGATTTGGATGAGTTCGCAACTTCACCGTCTCTGCTTAGATTGAGAGCGCTTTGAGAGGATTCCTCCATGTCTTCATCTTCCGATGGAAATTCAGCTGTAGTGTCAGATGATATTCGTAAAGAAGACGCAACAAGGGCGTAATTATTTGCCGATACGACAGCGGCCATCGCGGCTGCGTGCGACGCCGATACGGGGTGGTTTAGAGATGACGTTGGGGGCGGAGGCGGTGGAGGTAAACAGGTGGGCATGCTGAGGTTCAGCCCCATCGGCGAGGATGCTTCTCCATCAGACGGCCGTCTCCTCATAGGGTCTCCACCAATTTTACTAGGGAACCCCAAACTTGGACCCAACTTTCGAAAGTCGAACGGTTGCATATTTTGGAGTCGATTTAAAGGCGATTGGTTGGTCGCCGTCGTCGTCGGCGGCGACGAGCAGGTAACTGGCAGGGGATGAGGATGCGCCACCGGTCCGTTGGAGGGTGATACGTTCAGGAAGCCCAACGGATGCTTCTGATGCGGGGAGATAGTCGGCAGGTGCGAAAATTGGAACACCGACGACGGCGATGGGCATCGATTTGGCGACATGGTTCGGCGCGTCGCCGCGTTCGGCGATGGGCGGCGCTCCAATCGCTCAAGTCTTTCCAGACGGTCCAGTGCCGGATCCTGCAGCGCCTGCTGGGCCAGCAGGAGCTGTTGGGTTATCGCCCGCGTTTCCCCAAACCTCAGGAACTGTTGGAGTACCAATGGCTCCTCTTCAGCTGAACAGATACTCCATTTGTCTAGAGAGCTTCCTTGAGATTCCTGAAACAATGCGAAAATCTTATTAATTATAATATTTTATATTTATTTACTTACATTCAACACCGCGCGTATATTGTTTATTCACGATTATACGATTCTTATTTTCTTTCTTATGTAAGAACGGAGATGTGTGAGAATTTGTGGGACATGCTATGTGTGGGTATTAGTAATACTTGGAGCTTTCCTGTTTGCTTGCGAAGGGTGGTCTGGATAGTGTCTCCTGTGAGATTATAAACAGAGACCGGGATTTGCGAAAATCTTTCGGACGCGCGGGCCAGGTAAGATAGATACGAAAGGTTCGGAACCAAAAATAAACGAACGAGCGCGCGCTAGCCGAAGACAAAGCGCGCGTAAGAAAATAAATATTACTATATTTATCGGCGCAAAGGAAAAAGCGGCGATTAGTGGAAACGAGCGAGCTCCGCGCTGTCGGTTATTTCAAAAATTATACCTATCCGAAAATTATTCGTCTCGAAAAATGATATGCAAAACGGTCTATAATTTCGGCGTCTGTGATTCCGAATACCACATATTGTCGGCCGAAATTACCTAGTCTAATGTTTTAAATATTCATAAGGTCCAATACATTCGTGCCAAGACGACCTGCTATTTACGCATGCATTTGGACCCGGCTCCGTGATTATGCTAAATGCTAGGATATCCGAAAAACGAACATGGAAACGACAAATCCTTACCGAAAACTCGGCTACCAATTTTTAGTCTCTCATTTATCGTCACACGCACCTTTAACCCAATTTTACCACATTTATTTAAAGATATAACCAAGATATACAAGAAGATTTTTTTTGCTCATTCAAGTTACGTTTAAAGTAATCACGTCCTGTAATTGATGTGTAAAGATGCAAGAGCAATTATTGTTCGAGGACCGTCAATTGTATGATGACGCCAACTCGTTTGTGATTTAACAAAAAAACACCACGGTAACCCATTGTAAATGACTGCTAATATTAATGCTGTAATTTATCAGAAATAGAGAAGGAACTAGAAATTTTACAGCTGAGTAATTGCTGAGACGTAAATCTGTCAATAAATAACCGATTCAAGAATTAACTGGGAAAGTTAGTTAGTGTAAAACTTTATTATAGATCATAATAAACAAGTAATAACATAAATTTTAACTTGATGAAATTTATATAGAAAAAGGATATATTTGTTGAAGCGTTTTATGAATCTTTACACTAATTGAATTATCACTGAAGACAACAGGATTCAAGTTTGAAGAAGTAAAACCAAAAAAAATTGTTTATTTATTTTATTTTATTGTGTTTTGGTTATAAGTTTTAACAATTAAATTTATATATTCAATTTGCCATCTTTAACTATCTCCTCTATATAATTTTATTTATTATTTTAATAACATATTAATTCTTTTCTGAATAAGATCAAAACCAAGTTATATTAGAAATAAGAAATAATTTAAATTTTAATACAAATATGAAAAGTTGACGATTCATTTTGATTTATGGGTGACGACCGGTGGTCAAAAAACATTTTGCGGGTTATGGCCGTAACCGTGCTACACTGATCCATTAGGTGATTAGCCTTTGGATCCGTTGGCTTCGCGTTTGTAACGATCCGCAGGACGCAGCGATCCACTTTTAGATTTAATTCGCTGGCAACGGTGATCAGGTGATTGCGGAGTTCGATTCGCGTATCGATTTAGCGGGAATAAATGAAAAAATGAAAATCTTGCGGGAACAAAGAAGAAAAATCCAAAAAAAGGGCAGGATCCTACCAAGAGATGGCGCGAATTCTTTTTGAGTTCTACTTACTTTTCTATGGACCGTCATCTTCTAAGTTGACGATGGTGACATGACACCGAAATGACGAGAGAAGACGCACTCCTCGAATCGTAAACCGAGTCACTCACGAAAAATGTTCGCACCACGAACCGTACTAAGAAACGTACCTGAAGGATGTAGCCCCTGGCATAGTCCTCAGGCGTCCATCCGAAGCCGTGCAACACTTGGAGCACCTGCTCCTTTTGGAGCACCGAGAAGAGCCTGTCGAGGAGGATCTTGAGGCGTATCGGCAACGCCTGGCACCCGTAAAGCACAAGGCTCGCGATGTCGAAGGCTGCGTTGGGCTGCACCGGTTCTGGGGCACTGTTGGCGAAGAGATGTCGCGATCCCAACTTGTCCAGCGCTGTAACAAAGTGGGGGTTACTCAGCGTGCGCACAAGAGGCGGAGTCTCTTGGAAGGGATATTGACAAGGTGGACCTTTGTGCCGCGTAGGTGACGGTGCACCCCCTTTTTAAAAACAAAACGGACCGCTCTACCCCGCGGGGTTCCTGCCTGGCCGTCGCCACCCCCAGCTTTCTGGGCTTCATCGACGCCGACGTCCACAACGCCACGCGAATCTTATTACATTCACTCCCGATTCGATTCGAACACTTAAACCGTTTCTTTATATTAATTTATTTACTAGTTATGAAAAGTTAGAACCGAATCCGAAACATAAAATAAACTCGTTCTCGACAACAAATATTTTCAATTTAACTCAAAATTAATGAAGACAATTCAATTAAGGATAATGTAGGATCTAAACATACCATTAATAAAGATTGAGAAAAAAAACTCTGATTGATATGTGATATGCAGCAATTGCATGTGTATAGCAGATCTTAATATAGCAATTGATACAGAAAATTATGCAGATGTTTCAACTAACAACCCAGTTCGAAACGATCAATCTGCTTGGAAAGATTCCGATTTAAAAAAAAAATCATATTAATATAGAGTAATGGAATATAGTAAAATCATAATGGTAACTTTAACATGCAGATGTTTCAAGTAACTGCCCGGTTTGAAAAGAGTAATATTCTTTGGTCGTGAATTCGATAGACTCGTTCTGGTTAATGAGGGATCGGGGTCGAGTCCTCATCGTTGAAACGTAGAGGACTGAAACAGCAGGAAATTACAGCTGACGCCGCGTCGGAGGCGCCGAACAAGATGGCGGGTCTCCGAACGATCCCGAGGTTCGTGTCCGGCGTTAGAGAAGAGCAAATAAGGGACCATGAATTTTAATCGTCGCGTTACGGACTCATCACGCGATTTCTTCGGTCGCGAAGAAACGTAAAAGGGAAGCCAATAAATAAAAAAATAATCGATAACCGAGGACGAGGCAGGTGTTTTGGCGAACGAGCCGGACACTTCGGGAACCATATGTTTTTTAATGTCCGTCATTTTACGGACGTAATCACGAGAGCGGAAGAAGCGACGACGATTAATTATTTTTAAAAAGGGGGTGCTTTTATGTTGAACAGAAACCAAGTGACACAAGTCGAATTCAAACGCATCCTTGCGAAAACGCTCCGTTTAGGTACTCGGGTGGTCCCTCATCTCGATGTTATGCTCGAAGACAATTGGACTATAATGTCAAGCCATTACGGAAGGTACCTAATCCTTTTAACCATTGTACTCGTTCGTAATTGGCTTAGCCTTCACGACTGGTTAAGCATCTTTAGATTTGCCGGAATAAGATGAAACAAAATTTTTAAATATAGGCGCCACTGCACATTATTAAATTTTTTTTGTGTATATAGTTGCTTATTGACATTTTTTTAACATTTCCAATTTCAAATTCATTGCATTGTCAGCTCCAAATTATGTTGGGTTCTGCTAACAACAGCAATGTTTCTGGCAGAAAGATCTAATTAAGAGCTCATTTAATGATTTTATGAGAGACAACATGATTCAACTGAGGTAAGGACACTGCTAATAATTTAGTAAGTAATCTTTTTTCCAGAAGCCTATGTATAAAAGGATCTCTATGGACAATCCATAAATCAATCTGATTCTAAAATGTGATATGCAATTTGCAAAAACTGAAATTTCAAAATGTGGAGGAAGATAACGAGAGATGAAGCTAAGATGTATAGGAGTGAAGTTAACTCCAGACCGACTTCATAGTATCACAATCTACTCTATAAATGTATTTGATTTGAACTGCTTTTATACTGGGATATATTGACGCATCTGAGAGCAAAACTGTTACAGACTAATCTGTAAAGGGTAAAATTTGTTACAAATTTTGTTCAAAAAGTTTTTCTGTATCATGCTCGGAATACAGTTTTTTTTCCATCAACCAATTGTGAAACGACGAATTCTTTTAATTTCCATATTTTTAAATTTTTCTCGACATTGATGCAGTTGAGAGCAAAAGTGTTCGAGAGCAATGTATAAAGGGTAAAATTTGCTATACCTTTTGCTCTAAAAGTTTTTCTGTATCATGTTCGGAATACAGTTTTTTTTTTCATCAACCAATTGTGAAATGAATTCTTTTAATTTTCATATTTTTAAATTTTTCTCGACATGATGCATTTGAGAGCAAAGGTGTTAGCGAGCAATGTGTAAAGGGTAAAATTTGCTATAAATTTTGTTCTAAAAGTTTTTCTGTATCATGCTCGGAATACAGTTTTTTTTCCATCAACCAATTGCGAAATGAATTCTATTAATTTTCATATTTTTAAATTTTTCTCAACATGATGCATTTGAGAGCAAAAGTGTTAGCGAGCAATGTGTAAAGGGTAAAATTTGCTACAACTTTTGTTCTAAAAGTTTTTCTGTATCATTCTTGGAATATAGTTTTTTTTTTCATTAATCAATTGTGAAATGACGAATTCTTCTAATTTTCATATTTTTAAATTTTTCTCAACATTGATGGAGTTGAGAGCAAAAGTGTTCAAGAGCAATGTATAAAGGGTAAAATTTGCTACAAATTTTATTCTAAAAGTTTTTCTGTATCATGCTCGGAATACAGTTTTTTTTTCATCAACCAATTGTGAAATGATGAATTCTTTTAATTTTCATATTTTTAAATTTTTCTCGACATTGGTGCAGCTGAGAGCAAAAGTGTTCAAAAGCAATGTATAAAGGGTAAAATTTGCTACAAATTTTATTCTAAAAGTTTTTCTGCATCATGCTCGGAATATAGTTTTTTTTTCATCAACCAATTGTGAAATGATGAATTCTTTTAATTTTCATATTTTTAAATTTTTCTCGACATTGGTGCAGTTGAGAGCAAAAGTGTTCGAGAGCAATGTATAAAGGGTACAATTTGCTATACCTTTTGCTCTAAAAGTTTTTCTGTATCATGTTCGGAATACAGTTTTTTTTTCATCAACCAATTGTGAAATGACGAATTCTTTTAATTTTCATATTTTTAAATTTTTCTCGACATTGATGCAGTTGAGAGCAAAAGTGTTCGAGAGCAATGTATAAAGGGTAAAATTTGCTATACCTTTTGCTCTAAAAGTTTTTCTGTATCATGTTCGGAATACAGTTTTTTTTTCATCAACCAATTGTGAAATGAATTCTTTTAATTTTCATATTTTTAAATTTTTCTCTAAATTTTTCATTGATGTAGCTGAGAGTAAAAGTGTTCCAGAGCAATGTGTAAGAGGTCAAATTTGCTACAAATTTTGTTCTAAAAGTTTTTCTGTATCATGCTCGGGATACGGTTTTTTTCCATTAGCAAATTTTCGAATATACAAATAAATTAGCTTAGACCAAAAAGTCCAAGTGGGCAACAATTACAAATTGATCACGTGGAGATATGATATTTTTCCCAGTTTGTAGAATTAAATGGGATAAATTGGACTTTAATGCTTATTCTGCTCTTTAACATGTATACTTATGTTGAAATTTCCAGATCATTCCAAAAATTTCCAAGTCAAATTTCTGCATGATAACAATGCTTTCACTTTATATACTTAGTATATGCGAATAAATAAATGTGGCAGAAAATGTAATTATGGTATGTTAAAAGTAATGGAATGAGACTTTTTGGATTAAGATTTAAGATTTATCAAAAATAATCTCTTTATAATTATTAGTGGTTCTTGTGAAGTGTGAAAGACTAGAAGTAAGAAAGGGAAAATGTAGGGGTTGGATGGTCGGTCCATTACATCGGGGTCTTAACGCGTCGGGACGACGATCCATCAGTGAGACTTTTGTCTCTTGGTCTCCGTGGTCCATTAAAACGTTTGTTACGACCGAGGGGGTTAGATATTTATTAGTTTTTAAATTGCTCAAACGGAGAGAGAGGAACGACTTGGACGTTGGAGTTGGCTGGGTCGCCCACTTAAGGAGCCATAAAGCCGAGAACGGGATAAGGTTCGGCCGCGCTCATCAGCCTTATAGAACGATAGTTGCAGCGTCACGGCGCATTGTCGTCGCGACGATGGAGGCGCCTGCGGCCTTTTTAAGCGGGTAAACAAAAGTTCTTCGGCCAATATTTCTACGTGGCCGTCGGTGTCACTCGAAAATTTATCGAACAACCGGACTCTCGGTCCCGGGGATCGAAAAACCTAATTAGACTTCATTCAGTCCCGAGTTGCGTCACTTTATTTATACGGGACTATGTATAACGTCGGCACACAATTACTATATTGAATAACAGCATATGCTCTTTTCATGGCCGCGGCAAGAGACTAACCGACGGAAAATAATGGAAACGTTTTCCGTCTCGCTTCTCACGTCGCCTTTTGCCCCTCTTCTTCTTCTTTTCCTTCTTGTTTTTTTTTTACTTCGGCGACGCGCACGCATCTCTCTTTTGATGGATACCTCCGGCGGAATTTTAAAGTAATCATTAATGACCATTGTCCGAGGCTGCATTCCTCTCATCTCTAACGGCTAATTCTTTCTCGTTATTACGAAAAATCGACCAATCAGCTGTTTTATAATAAAAAAGTTGTATCAAAAAGATAAATTTTATGAAAAATTAACTGATCAGCTGTTCGCACCTTTTTTTTCTCGATCCTTAGACAGCAACTTTAGTTTCGGTCTTCAGGTAAAGCCCGAAACATCTTTTAAGAGAATCCTGGAATGTAAAACATATTGGCCGGCAGCCTTTATGGCTAGTAAACGCCGTCTTAATAACTTGTTTCCCTTGTCCGATTGAAAAGATAGTAAACACGTGCCAAAGGAATGGAATAAATTTATTTTTTAATTTATAAGTAACTAACACTATCACTAGAACTAACACTAGACCTAGAACTAGAAAGCTTTTTGAAAAAATTTTTGACGTTTCGGATGCCATGTTACAACTTTCTTCAGAAACAAGTTAAAAGTGACTTTCTAGGTCTAGTGTTAGTTCTAGTGATAGTTAGTTCTAGTTTTACTTTAATTTGTTAAAAATTCTT